AGAAGTTTTTCATTTGTTTTGGTTACATGGATTTTGTAAGGCACTATCTCTAGTTTTGTCACAGAATTTCAGCTGAACAAAACCAGGCGTAAATAAATCCATTCCTCTGGTGAGGAGAGGAGACAGGATAATCTATAATTCTATATGCTAGTGAAACCTGAAGCACATGGAGGATGCTAGTGTGTGGTTGGCATAAGCAGACTTAAGATTGCCACTACCAAAGGCAGCTCCTCTCCAGCACCTCTGTGTGCACCTATGCATTCACATCAGGGCAAGCCAGAGACCATGCAGTACAGCTGATGTAATTTTAATTCATTGAAATTACAACCTCCTCACAAGCACTAATGCAAGAAGGAAGCACATACAAGCCAAGGGGACTTTCAGACATGCTATTAGGCTGGTATAAGCTGGTCATGCTGGGGCAACCTATACCCACAGAAAATCTGACAGAGAATCCTAGTCATTTAGGAAGATGTGTGACATTTTCATTCTGCCTTCAGACTCTGATAGAGACAAAATAGTCCAGCTTCACACCTTTTAACCTGTATCCTTTTGGGGGATGGGAGGATATGTGTTGCTGAGGGAAGAAAAAACCCTTTCGTAGTATTTAATTCTCAGCAGCTGGTAATCTATTCAACTTGCTAACCAACTCTGCATATGCAACTTCACTGTTTAGCAGTAGATAGATTCACAAGTTCAAGGAAGGGGAATAAAACCCCTAAATCACATTTAGAGATTCCAGGCAGATTCCACTATCAAAATGGAAAGAGGAATAAAGTGTCCAGAATTTAGGAGAAAAAAAAATCCCTGTGAGTGTCACCAGAAAGGTTTGTAAACTCTACAGAAGTCTTCATTACAGTGTAATCCTTCCTTCCATCCCCCCAAATAGTTTTAAGTTATCTTCTCTGTTCATGATTGCCTTTATATTGCCATTGACATTGTGTTATATTAAGTCAGTCTCTAATATTAGATGCAATTATGATACATGACATTGAAATCATTTTTAAAGTAAGATTCCACTTGAAGGAGTCACCTTAAGTCTATGCCTTTGTAAGGCTGTTTATTGCTTTTGTGATTGTGCTATCAAGTATTCTTTGTACACAAGTACCAAGGTGCTAACAGCCAGATCCAAAATAGATAAAAGGAGCCAAACATTTAGTAACTTGAATTAGATGTCTGCAGTCAGACTTGTACTCCAGAAACACCTCCCCAGCTGCTTCTTCACCCCAGCTTTGAAAAGTACTGCAATTATACTTTTTCTTGATTTGACTCTGGTTCCCCAGCACTATGTTTTGCCTATGCACAGTGACAGAATTAAGTCTATTAGTGCTAACTGCCCCTATGCCAAATGGATAGTAAGAAACTAGAAATATAGATGACCTATGGATGCTGTTAGAGCCAAAGTGATCCTGGATTCCACACTGGACATACTGGCACACTGTCAAGTCTAGTGGAAATTAAAAGTTTAAAACATTTTATGGATTTACCTCAGTATTCTCAGTTATACTTTTTTTCCCTCAGACTTTGAAAACTGGATCAGAACCTGATTTTTAATCTTAAACATCACATTCAAGAAGTTTATGTGTCAGAGATTGTGCCACAGATGACACTGACTTGTGCTTTCTGTCTTGAATGAGTGCCTGTAACACTCACTGCCTCATCAGCAGTAAGACACAACTGTACCTCACTGGCAATTAACTCCACTGGGACTAGGATCCAGCTACTTCATGTTTACTATCATGACAGTAATAGAGTTAACAGCAGAAAACAAATTTTGAGGGAGAAGAAAAAAAATCAACAAAAATAAGATGTGACAAGTTCTTATTTACGTAGTCATTTTTCAGGAGCTGGGCTGCACTTCAACACATAAATGCATTGTACCTTTAGTAAAACCTTCCTCCTGAATAGCTAATAAGTAATATTTAAGTGCTTTCACCAATAAACTAACTTACTTTAGTTACTACGAAATCATTTTTATTATCTTTCTGTCTAAAAAAGTTGAAGGTAGCTAAAATCATCTTGGTGCACCTCCTGCAAGATCATGAATTATTGAACACTGGAGGAAGAGTGGCTGCGCTGAGAAAAAGACAGATAGTGAGGGCACTTTCTCCGTTATTGAGAATACAGCTTAAAGGGAAGGCAGAAGCCCTGGAAACATCTGCAGGATTGTATCTTAGTGATGAGAGTGGTGGAAAAGATCAAAGCCAACTCACCAAGGATTGAATATTTAATTGTGTAATATCAACATATGGAGATGCCAATCGAGCACATAAGCAAGTTGCAGATGTTGCCTTGTGGCACAGCACCTGGATCCCAGCTCACTCTCCCAGGTATTTAAGGCCTCTGTTGAAATGGTACCTACAGGCTGTTGAGAGCAATGTGAGCTGGTAGTTAAATAATACACTAAGATCAGGAGAAACAAGACATATCAGAGCTCGCAAAGTACTTTTTTCTCAAAGGGGAATCACACTGCTTCTTCCCCAGCTGCAAGTAAAATAACTCTAACTGGCAATCTGGCAGTCCTCTACTTGATTCAAGAAACCCAAACTGCTCTCAGTAACCTTAGCACTCAGATCTTTAAGCCTCTCTTAGCTGATCAATTTGTCCCCTGCAGCAGTTCCTACTGCAGAAATTCCCACTGATGCCAGTAAGGGAAGCACTAAACAATTACAGGCTGGCCCGTTGTTGAACCTGCTAACTAGGTGCTCCCGATTTGGGGAGATATTTCTGTATGTTTAGGCCACTGGCAGTTTTACAAGGCAGAATGTCTTTGCTCTCAGTCCAGTGGAGACTAGGCAGCTTTCCACCACCCAGCATTAAGAACAAAGGACTGACCTGACCAATGACACCAAGACTGGAGCCAGAGTCTTCTGGAGTTCTGATTCCAGGACACCAACATGGAGTGGTATTAAAATATCCAGTATTTTGTATTGTGCAGCTCTCCAAAGAGTCAGGACTATTTTAACTATGATTTTAAGTTCAGCTGTACTTCAGACTTTATAAAAAGCAAGCAAACAAAAAATACACATAGGAACTATTGCAGGGTACTTCCCTGATGTGACTCTCTTGCTATTATACCTCTGCCATCTGTCCTTTACACTGGATCTAGTAGCACAGGAAAATTCAGGAGGTCTTTAGTCTTACCTGCTGCTCAAAGGAAGGCAACCTGCAGGGTCAGAGCAGTTTGCTCAGGACTTTATCCAGTGGGTCTCGAAAAACTCCCAAGGTAGCAAAATGTAAAACTTCTCCAGGCAACCTGTGTCACTGCTGGGTGTGAAACAGTATTATTTATGTTTAGCCTGCACCTCCCTTTTCAACTTGTGCCCAACCTCCTACCACGCATGACTGTGGAGAGCCTGGACCCATGTTCTTTATGACCTTATGACGCTGGGAGACTGCTGTGAGGTCCCCCAGTAGCCCTCTCTCCTTCAGGGTGAACAAGCCCCGCTCCCTCTTCCTCTCTTCACAGGGCAAGTGCTCCGGCCCCCCACCAGTGGGGTGGCCTTTGCTGGACCTGCTGTAGTTGGCCAATATCTTTCCTGTCCAGAGGTCCCAAAACTGGATGCAGCAGCTAGGTGTGGTTGGCTGAGTAGGGAAGAGCTGCTTCTGTCGATCTAGTGACCATGCTTGCTTCACCCAGTTGGGAGGCTGTTGTCCCTCTCTGCTGCCAGGACACACCACCGCCCCTTGTTCTTGGTGTGCAAGACCTGTATCCCCTTCAGCAGAGCCATCCCCCAGCCCAGCATTTCCCAGCCTCTAGCACTGCAAGGGGCACTTCCTTCCCAGGCACCAAGCTCTGCACCTGTCCTTGAATTTCATAAAGGGTTCCTCATTCCTGCAGCCTGTGCAGGTTGCTCTGAATGACAGACCTTCCCTCCAGTGTATTGAGTGGTTCATGTCATTTGGCATTATTTGTAAACTTGATGAGAGAGTTCCCAGTATACTTCTCCAGGTCACTGACAATTTTGTTTAACAGGAAAAGATCCAGGACAAACCAGCTTTTGCGTAGAGCAAGACCCCTCAAACACTTCCATCTGAGCCCTGTCATTCAGACAATTTCTTACCTATTGTGTTCTTTACCAGAATTTTAAGTTTCTTTTACAATATCATAGAATCAATGGTTTGGGTTGGAAGGGACCTTAGAGATCCTGCGATGGACAGGGACACCTTCCACTAGACCAGGTTGGCTCAAGGCTCCATGCAGCCTGGCCTTGAAATACATTTCCAGGGATGAGGCATCCACAGCTTCTCTGGACAACCTGTACCAGTGTCCCACTACCCTCACAGTGAAGAATTTCTTCCTAATGTTGTATTAGTCAAATTGTATTCACTGGAATGTTTAGGACCTTTGCTATTCTTTGCAATACAAACTGTTCACTCGCCTGCTAGATGTACGGAACATCCAAGTTGCCCAAATCAAATCCAACAGTCAGGAGAAATCACGTTACCCAGAACAATGCTTTATGCAATATTTAAATCATACAACCATTTTAAAGAACTTTGTCACTATTTAAAACTAGAGTTTATTAGATGCAATACTTGCTATATTAAAAGAAAAAAATCCATCTAATTAACCTCTCCTTGTATAAATTAGTATATAAATAAGGAAACTATAATAGCATAGCAGAGGGGTTTTAATGCCTCATGAAGCTGTACAGCAATTACTCTGTACCATAACTAACTTGAAAAATCTTAAGAATATTACTTGGATGATGCTATGATTGTCAAAATTATATTTCTCATTCTAAGTATAGTTTTGTGATTTCCTAGTAATAAAGGAAGTAGGTGTATTGCCACCTAGGCTGACAATTCAAGTTATTCATGAAAGGAATTTCTCACTCTATGGTTCATGAACCATTAGCAATCACTAAGACATCAAATAACAATTTAAAATTCCCTCCCTCCTACTCAATGCCTCCAGACTAAAATATAAAAGCATATTTTAAATGTAGCTGCAATCTTACGCATTTGTAAATAGAAAACTTTGTTTGGGCAACATCTCAAAAAGCTCTACCATTTTTTATTTTATATTTGCCTCATTTAAAAAAAGTTGGGTACATGATTCTTGCACAAATACAGTATGATGACGATATAAGAAAAGTGCCACTTTTTCTTTAAAATATTCATAACTACATCCTATACCAGAGTAAAACTGAGTATAAACTCAATAAAGTGGATAAATTGGAGACACTGGGGTGGTGTGTGTTGTTTAAACTTTTTTTTTACTTGTCTTCCTATTTATGCAACATAATTAAATTAAGACCTGTAATTTGCTTTGGCATTATATTTGCTGTCTTGATCTGATTTGGAAAATTAAGTATAAATAAATAAATAAATAAAGGAAAGAAAACCATTATTTTTTTAAGTGTGCCCCAGTACAGATGCAAAATTCCACATGTGATCTTGAAAAGCAGCGTGTATGTGTATAAACATGTGTGTGCTTACATACACGTGTACATACACACACAATCTGTTGCTTGAAAGTAATCGCTGAAATGACAAAGTTAAAAAGTCCTAAGACTGTCCTGGTCAAGGTGCCAATTCACAAATATGCCTTTGAACCCACACAACAAAACCTGCTGTTTATGACCCAAGGAACACAATAGTTTTGTCATCATTCAACTAAAAAGTTCTGGAAAGTGTTCCTGGTGATTTAGTGCCAATCTATCGTGCTGCTTGTCAAAGTCAGAAAGACTGGCAGACAGAAGCTCACAGAAGAGTGTGAATTAAGATAAGGCCCTAAAGCCCAACATGCAGGAAGTGAGGCTACTAAGGAAGTCAGTAATAACCTCAGCTGGTGAATTTCTTTAAGTTGTTTTGACATCATTTCAAGGACTTAAGCTGACCAGAGCTCAGCACTCAGGCCCAGGGATCTCACAGGCTTTATCAACTTCCATGCTGCAGCAAGGGGCAGCTCCAGAAAGAAGCACAGCAAGTGCCATCACCTCCTCATCTCAGCTTCATCACCAGTCTCATCTGAGTAGCAGATCAGATACTGGGATTTTCACACCAAGGCTGATGAGGCACCTGACAACCACAGCTACTGGATCAGGCTTTTCAGGGAACTTAAAGACACCAGATACCAAATCTGCTGATCTAAGGATAAGTGCAGAACTGAGCAAAGACTTTACAAGAAGAAAGTAGTTTTACACCTACACAAAAACAAAAATCCGAATGCATAGGAGAGTAAATTTTTACCTTTAAAATTACCTAAGAGATCAGGCAAAGGTTTTGTGAATTGTGCCCTTATTTTTATGTCTCAATTCTACCCATGTCCCACCCTAAGCCAGCAAGTTTTGCAAGTTGCCCTTATGCATAGGCGGATAGCTGGATTTACTGGGTCTTTTCGTGGACCTGCCTAAGTCTGCTGTATCAAGGGTAAAGAATGAAGTATCAAGTAAAACTCCCATGGACCAAGACCAAAACCAGGTAGATAAGCAAGCTCTGCTTCATTAAATAAACTGGGAATCACCCACAGCAATGACAAATAAATGCACTCAGTCCTGCCTGACTTCTAAAGCTGTAGAGGATAACTGGGACTGGCTATCATGTAAGGGGAAAACTACCTGGGAATTCCTAAGCTAAGAAGTTACAGATGAACATTTTCTGAACATTAAAGCAACACATGAAAAACGAGTCTGCCTGCTGCTAGTAGTATGGATGGACAGAAATTGCTCGAGAATAAATCAACCTCTACGCACTTTTCTTACACATAAAAAGCTTATGCATCTGACAAGTAAAGAAAATAGTCTCAAGAGGCTGCATATTTTTAAGATTAAATTACCAGGCTATGCTGTTAGAAATATTCTTCCTAGCCCAGCTGAGCATCAATCCAAGTGCTGTTCTGCAAAGCAGACTCCAAAGGCATTCCTTAGCCTGCCATGTTGACTATCAGTGACAACAAACTGAGCAGCATTACAAGATTGGCCTTTCCCTGTCCTTTGTTCATCCTTCCAAACATCACTTAGCAGCTAAAGCAAGTTTTGCGACTAAACAGACAAGAAAAAATATGCTATTGTATGTGTGAAGTTATGGCACTGGACATACAACAGGGATGCTTTCACAACTGCTACTCATTAGTTTCATTAATTTCACAGCATTTTGCAGAGATAGGACTGGCCAGCTAATTTGCTGAATTTTTAAATTTGTTAATACATCAAATTTGTTAATTGGTCAGTAGTCTGCTCTGAAAATAACGGAGAAAGCAGAACTAGAACTTGGTTTTATTTCTTTTTGTTAAGAAGGAAAATCTCCCTTATAAAGTCAGAAAAAATGTGTTTCATCCAAAATAATCAGGTACAAATAATTACATGAGGAATGAAGTTATCAGCAACAGAATCTCACAAAAAACCCAACCCTTTACTTCTTACAAAGACATGAGAAGTTCATTTTAAAGAACAGAACAAGTAGCCATCTTTAATGCATTTGTTTCAATTGATATTTTAGAATAGTACCTCATTTTACTCAGGAAACAAAAAGGCAATCATACAAAAACAACAGTTAGTCAGTTCAAAATCATCAGACAGAATGATTTTGCTACCTACCATTCACATCAATTTTGCTTTTGCAGAATGACTCATATCACATACACATTCCACTTTAGAAAATAAGGACCCCCACCATCTCACTTCTCCCAAAATGAAAACGGTCATGATTTCATTTTTTGCTAATACAGACTGATATACCAGTGAAATGAGTGACTAACCTTCGATGTGCATTAATTGATGGCCACTCCTTTAACAAGAACCAATTAAAGCTACTGCATAGGAATAAACCATTTTCTTTAAAGCTTCTTGTATTACAGCATTAGTTAAATGATGCAAGTGTAGTACTCATACAGTCAGTGCATGCTATTCCCAGGTAGGTTTTTCCCAACAGTCCTTTTTGTTTTATCCAGTCAAATTGTGTCGTGTGTCTTGCCACTCTAATTGTAATGAAGTCTCTAAACTACGTGAAATTAGTATTTCCTTTTAGGATCAACTAAAAATTTTTTCATCTCCCTTTAATGAAAGTAAGGGAATTGTGACAAAGTCTCAGGAACCTGGTAAAAAATAATTCATATTCTTTCTTCCTTTCAAGGAAAAATCCATATAATCTAGACAGCCACCACAGGATGAACTATAAATGCATGTTCTGGTGGATAAATAATTAAAGCATTCAACCTCATATTAACTGCTCTTAGCCACTTACCTCTGGCTAAATAACCTAGAAAATGGAATATCTAAATTTTATATTTGTAGCATTTCAAGTTGTTTGTTGTACCTCAAATGACAGAGCCTGAATGGACAGTAGGAAGTTTTTCAGTCTTGCACTGAATCCACTATACTGTCTCACCTCATCATCATCTTCTTAGGAGAGTTAATTCATCTGCAGACAATTTACCGCTAGGAATCTGTAGCAGCCAAGTGCCCCAAACTGCACCTACTCCCAGCTGCCAGCTGAAACTTATCCTCTTTAAAGTCTGAGATCCATGACTTCAGCACTCCCCAAAGCCAGCGTTAGGTTGTATGGATGTATGGAAGTATGTACATATATTTTGGGATATGAAGCATAATGCAGAGATGTAAGCATTACTGGACAACTAAGCCAGGAAGTGCACCCAGAGCCATATGCAAAGCAGGTACCCTCCCGTTTGTTCCCTGCTGAGTCAGTCCTACACCAGGCTCACGATTGGTGTAGGATCTGGACAACTGCAGCCAATAAAATGCATCTCAACTCCACGCCACATGGACCTACCTTCTTCAGGCCCACTGCTATGAAAACCCCTGCACTATCCCAACTGCTACAGAGTAAACATACTCTATGACTTGAAGCATGTCTAAATAACTATTTGACAATCTCAGAGATCCTTTAATAAGCAAAAGAACTAACCAAAACCAAGAATCTTCTCCTTCATAGCTCCAAGCCCCATATATACAGTTAATGAAAACTGCAGTCTGTGGTCCCATTAGTCCTTTTGTCTGGAGTTGCAGCTTTCAAACCACACTCATGAACAAACCCTACTACTTCACAATGAACAGACTCAAGGGTACGGTGGTGCTGGAAACTTGTACAACATCTGCCATATTTCCTGTGAATCATCACACTGTCACAGATTTTCTCTAAATATAGAGTTGTTTCTTCATTAATGAAGAACCCTGTATTTAAGACTAATTTTTGAATTTTATTTTAAAAGATCCAAAATTTAATGAAAGAAGCAACTACTTCTGCAAAAAAAAAACCCCAGACAGTACGAGAACTTTTTCAAAGTTTGTAAGGGATAATGATTCAATAAAAATACACTAAAATTGACACAGAATCATAATACATCTTGAGTTGGAAGGAACCCATAAGGATCATCACGTCCAACTCTATGCTCCTTGCAGGAGCATAACTGTACATAACTTTACATAACTGTAAAAGATATCAGTTTGCTTTAGATCATCTTAAAATTTTAATTATGACAATAAATATGAATAAGAAACTGTGCAGAGCAAGTAGACATGAAAGCCATTGTGCAATGTATTTGCTGCATCTCCTCTGACTCAAGCCTTCGGATTTCAGTTTTTGGCACTGGATTCCAACAAGTCTTTTGCTTCGTTTATTTTTGTTGCTAAGTAAGGTGATCCACCTGAGAAGAGAAAGGGAAAGGGAATACTGTTTACACATCAGTATTAAGTACCAAACTACTTCACTTGCAGCATTCCTTTATTACTCACTTTTATTAGCTCCTTCTTCCTACACAGATCCTTTTGATACAACTGCTTAATAAGTTACATTGATAAGAAATAAAGTAATTGATAAGGAAACATGAGAAATGTAATCAAAACTGAAGTCACTGAAGAACAACACTGAACATTTTGTCTCAGAGAGAAGACTGAAATTTGAAAACACTTTACATCACTATGATTTAGACCTGCAGTGCGATGCTTCTGCAAATGTACGCAAGGTCAGCTGTCTTAAATGTTCACTCAAACCAAACAGCTAGTATTTCCACTTATCCCAAAAACTGAGAAGGAAAATTTTAAAATAATTTTGACAAAGAATTATTGTGTGCACATGCACACCTTCCCCCGCAAGCCTCTCCTGCGCTGGGTGCCTAAAATTACCAGCCAGAAATCATCACATTAAAGCTGTTTAAACATGGTAAGCCTTCTAACTTCTAGTCCTGAACACTGTCATTGCTTTACGCTCCATCTAACAATCTGATTACAGTTCAGCAATCTTTTTGTGTTTGGTTTTTTTTTACTCTCCCCTTGAGTGCCAACCATCTGTCTACAGTCACCAAAAACAACATTACAAGGTCTGTATCAGTAACTTATTACTTACTATTACACATCTATATTTTTTACGTGAGAATGTGATTCCAGCAGTACTGTGCACTGAATAGCCTTTTCCAAGGCATCTGTTCAAACCTATTTTTCATTCACCATTTCATTCATTCTATTAATCAGAAAAGACAATGATAGACGAAACATACAGAGCTACTTGTAGACATACATAAATAAAGACAAAAAGGCAAGGCTTGCTTAAAGACTTCTTTAGGACAATCCTGCAGGAATCCAAATCAGTATAAAGTCATTTCATGGTGCAGTAAAACAACTGGAAAAAGTAATGAAGATCTTTTTCATGTTTTGGTCTTGTTTGAATGTAGCCTTAATAGGTAAGACACACTGGAGGAAAGTGAGGCAGGGTAAGGGATGGGTAACGAATTGGATACCTAAAAAAGAATTTATTTTTTCCCTTTTTTTAAATCAAGTAGCTTTTAGCAAGGAATAGGATTTACTACATTGAGTATTGCTTCTTTCAAAGAGTAGATAAGAGGATCAAACAAACAGTAAAGACAAAAACCTGCAATGAACAATGTATTCCAAGTAATTTTTAAATGTGCATTGATTTTCTATCTGTCTAAAGTACAGCATCTTAAAGTAAATTCAAATCTGTTAGAAGTGTTTTCACTACATTTACATCCTTAAGTGCCATATTAATTTTGTAGCCCTCCAATGAGAGGAAATTCAATCTCATGATTGCCTAAGTGTTTGTTTATAATTAGGGCAAGTCCAAAAGGCTTCTCTCTTCCTCTTTTTCTGTGAAGAAATACTCTTTCCTAAAATTAGTAACTGATAAATTAACACAATACACAACACAATATATCTATACAATATATCAATATAAAAACACTTTGAACTGTAAAAGTTCATAAGCAACTGTTTTAGTAGCACTCACTGAGGATGTTATTAGGTAAATTTCTATATATTTATTTACTTCTAATAATTCTCTCTTCAAGAGTTTGGATCTCAGTAACATACGTAACTTAAAAAATCTGTAATTAATGACCTTTCTTTTATCAACTCCAGCTGGTTAAATATTATTTTAAAATGACATTACAACATTGAATATAGTTTTTAAAAGCACATTTGTGCTACCCACAGCCAGAAGAAATCAAGATCTATACACAAGCAAACAAGTCTCTCTGTGATGCCTCATGTTCAAGATTACTCCAGGCCCTTGCTCTGCAGCTGAACATATTACACAAGCCTTTTTTCTACAGCCATGCCAGAAGAGCTTCGGGGGCAGCACAGAGGCACAAATCCCTTCAACTGGTGTTCCTGGAGAAAATGCTCCATCTTAATACCATGCAGGAGGGCTCACCACATCCATCCAAACCTACGCTGTGCCCAGCTGCAGGTGCATTACAGCTGTAAGAGCAGTCACTAAAATCTTCGTTAGGGTCATTAGGATCTTCCTAACAGGAACTCTCTCTTTAGGTCTACTCAATAACCACATGGAGATTCACAGTTCTTTCTGGCCCACATCTCCAAATACTGCTACAATAAACTTGGAAGTTCAGCATTAAAAAATTTTGACCTAATAGGTACTCTGGTGGTTAAGAGGCCTTTGACCATTATAATATATTAGAAATGCAGAAGAGAATTTCTTTCCTATGTCTGTGCAGCTTACACATTATAAAAAGTGTAAAAAATGAAAGTGTGAAATCAAATAATCAGGACAACTTTAAAATTAAACTGAGGGGTGAAGACAGAAAAGAAACACTCAACTGAACACTTTCCATGGCCAGTGGTCACAGTTATCTTTTCATTTTCTTAAAATGGGGTGCTGGCAGGGAGCCCTGTAATTCTGTCAAAAAGATATAAAACCCCTCCAATTTCCCCTTTTGACTTCTGAAATACAGTGCAACTCTTCACCATCTGTTATTTTAAAGTAGAAACAGCAATGAACATATGGGCTTTCTTTCTCAACCAGCTGTAGTGTAGTTAAAGTTATAATAATAGCCTTTCTCTAAGATAAATTTACATTAAAAACCTGGCCAGTAAAGCAACAGTGCCCAGCTTTACATTCTTTCCAAGTGAATTCCATAAAGTCTGAAATTCATCAATGATGTACTTAGTAACTGCAGAACATTTCCCCACAGAAAGTTATTTTCATGCATGTGACTGGTCCATCACAGTTCAAAACAGGAATGTTAGATAATGTAAAATTTTTACAGCTTATTTTTGAATAAGTTTTTGCCAAGTGTGGTGAGCTGGTCCCTGAGATCATAGTTTTAACTGAAGTAGTACAAGTACAGAAAACAACATTGAAGAAAGATGAGTAAAACTGTGGTTCATAAAGCCCAGTTTATCTGAGAGAAGACACACAGAAGGTCAAGTCAATAAATAAACAAAAAACATTTGCACTCAATGTTATTTACACAGTCAGAAAACTTAAAGGATCTCATTTAAACCTCTTCCTTTCCAGCCCTCGTTAAGAAGAGTAATAAGTATTTACCTTTATCAGGATGATTCAAAATCATGATTTTTCTATGGGCTATTCGGATTTTGTCCCTGCCAGCAGACGGACTGCAAAATAAATATAAGTGCTTACCAGAAATGCGAAAGCGCTCAGGCTAAAAATTAACAGTTTATACTGGCTTCAAAAACATTATAACTTGAAATTTTCACCATCTTGTGGACAAAACATTAAACTGCATCTCTAAGGGAGTAACAATAACAAAGGCGTGTAAGACACATTTTTCAAAAGCCTGTGTATTTCACACATACAAATATCTTTTAGGTTTTTTTTTAAACACAATGCATCCACTCATTTAAAATAAAGTATTTTGAGAGGGTGGAACAAAAAAAATGAAAGCCCCAGCAGTTGTAGGGTGTACCTGGTTGGTTATTCTAGCATTAAGTGCAGAAAAAACAATTCTTGCTCCGAGAAAATAAATATTTTTATGACCAGTGACAAAACAACAAATATTTAATATTATCGCATTTTGTTCTACTGTAAATATTTTTATAGCTGCTATAAATATTTTCTCTTTCTGCTGGGACCTGAAAAAAACCCTGCATGTTGTTATTTTTGCAAAGCCATTGAATGTGTTACATTCAGGGATATGCTGATTTACAGGTGCTACCTACATAATATTGTTTCCTTCAATGACAGAAGGAAATATGTATTCGGCCTAAACTAAATACGTCCCTTACCAGACAAACAACCACTTATGGATGCAGTATGCCAACACAGCAGGGCTATCGTTTGCAAAAGGACAGTTTGAATGCTTTAGTTTTTTATAATTTGTTAGTATGCAGAAATGAATCAGTGTTTTCCACTTCAGGTGACTTCTTAATCAGAGCGATGATTCAATTAATTAATCTTTCTGTAGATACAGTTTGAATGCAAGGTATCAGCCTAACTAAATTCCCGAGGTAAACAACCTTTCTAATTATTATTCTGTCACAGTGAAATTAGGGTATGTTGCAAAAATAGTTCACAGAACTGCATAAGAAAAGAATACTTCAATGGAACACAAAGTAGACTAGAAAGTAAGAATCAAACAGAGGGTGAAAGGCCTTGAACCATATAAATACAAAAATGAAACGATTTGTTGTCAGACAACTGAAAATAATAATCATCTATATTTTGATTTGCAAAGCTGTTTTTTAATAATAAAAAGGAAAGCTGATATACCGCATTTAGAAACACTGATGGTCAAAGCACAACTGGGGAAAAGTGGCAGTTGCATATTACAGAAAATCGTGCAGGTCTGCTCTGAGAAGCAAATGTGAAAATGGTTTACGTTAAATTTTCTTGGTTTAGGAGATTTTGCTTATCCCACAATTAGACTGGTCCCTAAAAATTCTTAATGACTATAAAAAAAAAATATATAATGTCAAAATCACATTTTCCTTGACTCACAACCTGAGTCACACCAACGTCATGCTGCCTTCAACATCAACTGGCTGAGAAGTCTATCACCTTGGTGGGAACAGTCAGTATGCTGGAGGGCAGGGCTGACATTCAGGGGGATCTGGGGAGGCTGCAGGAGTGGGGTGATAGGAACCCTTCACAAAACTCCTCAAGGACAGGCGCAGAGCTCAGTTCTTGGGAAGGAACTGTTCCTTGCAGCTCTAGAAGCTGGGGAATGCCAGGCTGGGGAGTGGCTCTGCTGAAAGGGACTCAGGGCACAGCAAGAACATTCCTCCACTGCAGTATGTTACTATGCCTCCAGTACAAACACAAATCACTTGGTTCATGTGCATTTTATTCTTTGCTTTTTAGTTTAAGAAGAATATTAGAATAATTTATAAGCCAATACAAGTCTTACAGAAAAAGTCTCTTACGTGGTTTCGGCATGAGTATTCCACATTCTTGCAACATGCATCTCCTTCATTCAATACTTGCTAAACTAAAACATTGATGCAACGCACCTACCTTACCCCTAAAATAAGACTAGCTTCTCGCCTACTCATTTTCTGTTCAAATCCTCCTTTATAGTATGATGAAAAACTCTAAAAAGAAGAAAGGGAAAAAAAGCAATAATTAGTTTCATGTACAAGGTGTCAGGAACTAAATCGTATTTATATGACCTCATTCAGAGCATTAAATTCATCTATAATTTATTTCAAAGGCATGGAATGACTGCAAACCAGATAATATGAAAGGACTTCTCCTGAGTGTTAACACATGCAAAAACTGACTTAAAAATAACTGTGTTTTCAAAATATTCCTTTCTATGTTTTTACAATCTTCTACTGTTAATAAGATATATTAATAGCTACAACCATTAAAATCCTGCCTCCAGGCAAAAAGGTCCAGAATCAAAGTACATACTAGCAAAGAGTAGTACAGTGTTTGTGCTGGGGAGGGCAGGGGAAGGAAAGTGGGAGACTTGCTGAGGACAGCATAGGTGGTACCATCACAATGAAAAATGACCAAGTATTGTCATCCAAGGAAATTAATGACAATGACTCCAAATATTTCTACAAAGACAGTAGGTAAAAACAACAGAGATAAGAACAGATAAATACAATGTACTGATGAGAAGGCAGTATCTTTTTTCCACTTGAAGGAATTTTACTTAAAAAACATATATCATGAGTTCTTTAAAGGAAACCCTGAAATTAACAAAAAGAAACAATTAAAAGGCTTAGCATAAAGTCACAACCTCTGTTTCAGAAAAATCACTGAGCTGGAGAACACTGGAAAGTAGTAAAGTATAGAATCATAGAATCATAGAATCAGCTGGGTTGGAAGGGACCTCTGAGATCATCAAGTCCAACCGTTGATCCACTACTGCTGCGGTTACTAGGCCATGGCACTGAGTGCCACATCCAGTCTCTTTTTAAAAATCTCCAGGGACGGAGAATCAACCACTTCCCTGGGCAGCCCATTCCAGTGTCTGATTACCCTTTCTAATATCTAACCTAAACCTCCCCTGGCACAGCTTGAGACCATGTCCTCTTGTCTTGAAATCCTAACCAACTTTTGCCTTTATATCTTTCCCTTGACACCAATGACTGACAATGATTGGATACAGGATCTGAGGCTAGTTTTTTTAAACTTCTTGTCATGTGAGACTTTATCCATTGTTTTAAGAACGGAAGAAAAAACAGTGGGAAAAAAAACCAAAAAAACATTTTAAAAAAGAGACAGAGATAATAGTAAAACATTACAAAACTTAACAGTCATAAGAAATGGGTCAAAGGCATATTTGTCAATTATAGATCTATTTTAAATTTTAAAAAAATAATTTACTGAACCACTACCGATGGCTAGCAGTGATCTCACAGTAAACCTTTCTCTAAGTCCCAGAGGCAGTACATGTAGCTCCAAGACAGCCTGCCTAGGGGAACTGGCACACAGAAATCACTCAACAAGACTGATTCTTATTCCTCAATGCAAAACCTATCAACTGGAGAAAAATAAGCTTTTGCTGCTATCAAAGGGAAGTCTGGGCATGAGAGCTGAGGTTATTTTCAAGTGTTCCTTTTACCCCCAAGGAAAAATATGCCCAGCCCTTAATAAAACACTCTTCTCATTAAATATAGCCATTCAAATTCAGTGAGAATTTTGCCTTATGTCTACACAAACTCTCTTATGTAATTTCAAAAGCATTAAAGCATTTAAAGGGCTCTGTCCATGAAATCTAAGCAAAGCCTTTAATTAAACTTAGAAGAGACATTCTTTCAAAAGTGTCGTTCAGAAATACTTTACCTATTGCTGCCATAAAGTCACATACAGCCACAGAAAAGATTTTCTCGTGTGCTGTTATGATCCAAAACTAATTTTACCTTCCTTCTTTCCACCGCAAAACATGCGCAAAACAACCACTAGTGTAACACTGCAGGTTATCAAAGCTGAAGTAATTCTGGACACTGTGTGCCTACAACAAAAATCTGTTGCAGAACCGCTTCTATAGCTACAGGGTAACACAAACCAGGTCTGTAACACTGCACATCGACATTACAGGTTAGAGTATGTAACATGAAGGAACACACAGGGTTTCTCTGATTCTCTGAGAGGAAACGATGCTAATAATTTAATGGTCAACAGATAACCCTTTTGAGGAGGCGGAACTGCACAGAAATTTGCAATGATGCCAAAAAACTACTACAGCCAGGAGAGAAAAGCACAATTTAATGTCCTCTGAAAGATTTTTCTAGAGCTTCTCCCAAAGCAGTCTAGGTACAGATGGTTTCCTGAAAAGGTTAATTCTTTTCTGCCCTTCAACTCTGATACACAAGTCTAACACATGATAACTCTGGTTCACTTTTCACGTAGAGAAGAGCAATATTTGAATTATCTCTACCACAGCTTGTCTCTGTTCTTGGTAGATTTCATCTAAAATACTATTTGAAATATAAGAATAGGGAGGAACAGCTACAGGTTTACATTCAGAGATATTTTTTCATGTTTTTAAAGCCTACTTTCTTGACACTGTTCTAACCTCAGGAAGCCTTGATTTGGTTCACTTCCAAGAGGAATAAAAAAAGAAATTTTGGTGTCTGTGTCCTTTCATACATAAACAAAGAAGTTTGATGAACTGGTCTTCAAGGAAAAAAAAAAATTTCCTCAGAAATGAAGGATATAGCAAGAAATGAAGGATATAGCAAGAACCTCCTCTCCCTGGAGGTTTTTAAAAAGAGATTGGATGTGGCCCTTAGTGCCATGATATAGTAATTGGAGTTGGATCAGGGGTTGGACTTGATGATCTTGGAGGTCTTTTCCAACCCAATCTATTCCATGATTCTATGATTCTAATAATCAATTCTTAAATTAAAATCTTCATCCTAAACAGAATTGATAGTAAAAGGAAATCAAACATAAAAGCCGTTTTTCCCACTGGTTACAAAAAAGGGGAAGAACCATTGAGCACTCATTTTAGGAAACACCTTGGCAAATTTCTACTCCTCTAATGAAACAACTTTTGCATGCTACTCAAACTAAAGCACTTTTTCCTAGTTATAAATTTTAAGTAATGGTTGTAATGATATTTTTCTGCTATGAGAATTCCTCAGTGAGCAGGCAGCTCTAGACACTTGATTATTTATAACTCTAGCAATTGCAAAGAAAATTCAGTACCAAAAAAATCATTGAAATGAGCTCTCCATTTCTTTGTACTATCTGGGGGGAGGGGAGGCTATCATTTAATTTACTTAATTTTCTTGCAAATTATTACTGCTTAGCAACTTATGTAAGCAAATTCTCCTTCCTGAACAAATGCTATTAATAGGTTTGGGCAGGGGGAGGGACAGAAAATGGCTGCACTTGCTTTGCAAATCTGTATTCAGTCTTGCAAATTTTCACAAAAGCAATCAGCTAGGAAAATCCAATGCGTATGGATGATGAACATCTTCAAGATACTTTTTCTGGCACAGCATAGGAAAAGCATGATCACTGTTTTCATGCCAGTTAGAGACTGAAAATACCAAAACTGAGACCATTACATGGAGTAGTGCATTCTTCTGAAAACTCAGTATGTTGTTGTTCCAGCACCAATAAAGTCCTCCATTGAAAAGGTAAAAAACATTGGAAGAAAAAAAACCAAACATAAAACCCAAACTATAATAATAAACTATTTAGAAGCTGTTCTATAATACAAAGTACAATTTTGCTAACATCAACTCCCTTAAATTTAGTTAGGAAAAAAAAAATAAAATGGTTCTCTGGAAATTTGATTTTCAATTAAGAACAAGAGAGATGGTTGCTACCCTTACCTCTCAATTCAGAACTCTATGAGTCTGAGCAGAATCAGATCCAATAAGGGAAACATATTGCAAAAGTCTAATAAAGTGCTAGAGAAGACATCCTTTTCTTACAGAAAACAGAATTTTCAGGATTGTGGGATTTGAGTATTTTGACAGTTCATTTGGCCTAGAATTGCTGTTTCTGCCTTCAATATCTTTGTTCTATCTATCTATCTACCTATCTTTCTATCTGCCTATCAAGCTTCAATATCATTAATTCAACAGAGAAAAGTAATGAATGCTACTGAAATACTTGCCTTTTTATTTCACATATTAAGGACATATTAACATTATAATTAATGGCATTTATTCTGAGGAAGAAAAGCCAGTTGACTACTACTTAGTGCCATGCACCTTCTACTGGCAACAGACTCTTGCCACTACACACAGAAACAAAACAGTGTCACTGACATTTGTGATGACAGTGACAAAGCTAGGTTCAAACTGAAAAAGCATTTCTCTGGAAGTGAGCATTATGACTTTTCATAAAGGGGAAATGACAATGTTTCCTCTAATGTCTTTCTCCACTGAAATAAAAATGGCAGAAAACTTCAAGGCTAAATTACAACAGCATTTACAAATATATATCCTTAAATATGAAGTAACTGCTTTTAGCTGAAGTTAAATGAGAGGTAAAAATTCAGAATAAAACATAACACTTTTACTTGCCTTTACTTAATATTTTTGACTAAAAGATGACTGCACTTGTTGACTGTTCATGCTACTTCCTTAGGTAAGTAAATAAGAAGTGTCAAATACTCAAGATACAGCCAGCAGCATTTTAAATGATCGCTTCATAATTGCTCAACTTGACCTTTTTGAAGTCATTTGTTAGTGAGCAGGAAGAAAGAATAAATAGCATCTGTATTATCTTGTGTGACTGGGAGGGACCAACATGAATTGTGACTTCTACTGCAAAAAAAGGAGGGAAAGAATTGTAAATGGGGGAGGAAGAGTGGGGGCTCACTAAGAGAATAAGATAGCTTTTGAATAGGCTGCTACTTCACAGACTCAAAAAAAAGGCAATGAAGGACAAGATTTGATTCTAGAAAGCTAGAATAACCACTGGAAATTACAGTGACCAACTTAGATGCCTTCGAACATCATAGAAAAGCAGCAAAGCCTAGACACTAAAGGTCTCAAGATGTTCGTTCCAGTAAGCACAGGCAAAAGTGCTAACTGGTTGATATCTTAGCATAGTTTAAAGAGTAATATGCTGTCATGAAATGTGATGAAAGTGCTAATTCACAAATTATACTCAGCAGCTTCAAATTTCGAAAACAAAATCATGTAAAGCTGTTAAAATAAGAAGCTTGGACAACAAGTACTTAAATAGAGAACCTTTGTATTTAAAGTTTTCTCTACTTTCTTTATTGATTGTTAGGTGGAGAAGAAAAAACATTAAAAAAATACAATTCAAGAAAGTAGTAGCTGTAGACTAGTAAAAATCAAATAATCTTGGCTAAGAACTATATAAGGGTCTTAAACTTGGATGGTAGTTGCCGAAGAAAAATACTATCACTATCCTCACAAATGTAAAGCTGACAAATATATACAGTTAATAGCAAACAGGAAGAAAGTTTTTACTGTATTCAGTAGATCTTATCTTACACTGAAGACTTGTATTTTCAAGTTAAAAAATAGAATAGCAGAAGGGAGATACTGTGCTGGAATAATCAACACACAATTCTGGGCAGTAAGGCAGGAAGACAGAGGATACTGCTCCAGGGACTAGAAACACTTAGAATGCAGAAGTTTCTGGTTTGCTCTTTACAGTTGTTCACGAATTCTGCAGGCCTCAAAAGTCACTGTGGTAAAAATGAGATAGGTATGTAATGAACTTGGCTCAGCCAGTACTGAGGGGTACAGTTTTCAAGGAACAGATACCTCTCAGTGCAGTAGGATGTCATATTTCAATGTGTTAAAGAGTCACTGCCTGCTTTCTTATGTGAACACATCTGAATTTAGATTCTCTAGCCTATATCTAAAAATGGATAGAAAAAGAATTGCTGGAGTATAACTGCTAGGAAGGGAGGGAAAGTGAAGATTGAAGTACTCCCTACTCTGAAGCCACATGTACTGCTACATATATCTAGCAAGCCCTCAAGTCAGACTGTATCTGTATCATGTGAAAACAATTTAATTCACAGTACCTAAAGTCCCCTCTGCTGTCTTGGCAGGCAACCTGGGAATCTCTCAAAGATTACTTTGAAAAAGAAAAAAAAATTGGCATTGGTCTCACAACAGCAATGCAATAGAGGGACAGAGAGCAAAAAACAAATCCAGGACCACCATTTTTGGCTGACACACATCACAGTGAAGAACAAATGTGAACTAGCCCCAAGAGGACAGCTGAGTCTTCTCCTCCCCAGGAAGCTTGTCTTGATCAAGCTTGCCCCTTCAGCACAGGAACACCAAAGACAGATGGCAAATGAATTTGGACCACAGTGTCTGTCTAGATGGGCTCTGTTTTGCAATCGGCCTAACATTAGTAGGTACAATGCTAATGGTCAGGTTTTTAAAAAAACATCTTGAATATATTTTTCAATCTGCAACAACTACTCCCTGATCACACTCACACATCAGCATGAAGAGGGGAATTGTATTCCTTTGCTGGGATAAGAGTTCAGAGACTATGAATTCTGAAGGAACACACTGCCACAAGCAGACACCTACCTCACTGGGAATCACTTTAATCAAACAGGAATGGAACATATGTATTTATTTACCAGAGGAAAACATAGCCACTGAAGCAGAAAGTAAATGCTCTCAAATATTCCCTGCATATGCTCCTCTCATAACACCCTACCTCTGGATTTTTTACCCTATAATTATATTTTTAAATATATATAAGGCAAAATCAAAGAACAAAAACTTGGTTAAAAGTTCAAATTAGCTGGAGAAGAAAAAAAAGACAACTCATATGTGAACAAGCTCCCCCATCTCCATGGCAACCTTTCCTAGAAGTTTATCAATTTGTCTTCTTGACCTTTAACACTGTATCTAAAAGACTAAATTCTTTTATTTTTAGCTTCTTGAAACAAAACTGCATGTCACCACTTTACAATCTTTAGGAATTACCAATTGTCTCACAGCACGCTTCAACAATTTATCATACACTTACTAGTATCATATGCTTGCTAGGGTTCCAAAGCAAGAAACATCGGCAGAAAAACTACAACTGTTTATCAAACTTACAAACATCTTTTGATATATCTTCCTCTGTAGGGATTAAAAATATAGCAGACAATACACCAGAACATACACCGTAGGGAGCAGCCCTATCCTGGGTAAAAAATAAACTATGTGGCACTTCCTGTATTTAACCTAAAGCGTCTCCTTTCTGAATAGTAGAAATACAAAATCATACATTTTGCATAAAGTAATATCTAAACTTACAGAAGTCGAAATCCTCTTTGTTGTCTCTGTAATTGCCTGCTCCAGTGGTTTCCAAAGGTGGAAAGCATAACGACCTGAAAAAGATGGAAGTTAAATGAAATTATAACCAATACTCACTAAAACAAACAACAAAACCCCCTCCAACCTATGTTCTTCAGCTTACATCAGAAAAAATTTTGGTTTTAAAAAAATCACAAACTATTTGGAGAGGAAGGAGAAGAATTTTAATTTCTTCATCAAAACACCTAGTCATGGACTGCAAAGATCCATTTGTTTACTCACTATTTAACTCACTAAATAAATAGATTTAAATACATTTCAATATGATAAATGAAGATATCTGCCTTGTGAACTTTAAGAAAAAGGGCAGTTTGAAATATTAGCTTTGGATCCACATTATTAATTAAACACTGTTCAAAGGTTATGTCTTCAAACAAAAGAAATCTATGTACTACACATTTCTTGTTGTGATGCTGTGTGCTTAATCACACACTTCGTAAGTACTGCATTTTTTATTCTGTTACAAAGAGAGGATCTTCTGGGATTCAGAGCCATTCAATTCCTCACTGGTAGTGGATGTTCACAGCTAGAAAAGGCTAGAAGGCACTCTATTAGACTGTGTTCTCAGAAGTAAAAAGTAGGTCTATTCAACTTCAGAATCAAGATTTATGCCATGTTACTGGAGGATTTTCCCCATAAATCCCCTCTCCCCAATTATGCTTTGATTAACTATTCATTAGCAACGTAACTTACTATTGCACACACTGGAAAAACTTTTTATAAAATGTGGCTCTGCTTCATTCAAATAGCATCTTGTCTTCATTCTTAAAATACACAATGTGTCCATAAGTTATTTTTGTGATCTAAGACTGTGTCTATGTTAACACAGAAGTTAAAACACTGTTAAGAGTATCTCTGTTGGAATGTTGTGATGTACTGTTACCTCACTTTCTTTTTTCTGTTACTTTGACAGTTACTATTGATTCTTCAGCTCAACCAGCAGAAGAAATTCTATGAACATTCCTCTTCTGCTTCTATAAAAGCACATAAACCAACTGCTTAATGGATGTACATCACCAAAGATCGTCTTTCTTTCCTCTAATCACAACAACACAACTGAACCCACCAAACACCTGCTTAAGTTTTGTGCAACTTGTTCATCTATTAAATCTGTTCTTGGTGCATGCACTTACACATTGCTTTTGTATGCTGAAAACAACAGAGGTCAATCAGGGTATTTCAAACCCAGAATGGACAGTTATCCAGACCAAGTAAACCAGGGAATAAATCATGCTAAACTCATGCCCTGTGTTCAGACTAGAACCTATTTTTCAGAGTAACATACAGTCCAAATGCAAAGAGTTTAGGTAATAAACAAAGTCCTATGGAAAGAGTTTAGTTTGATAAATCACTGTAGTCACTTAAACCTTCTGGTTTTCTCTATTTGAATTTGTTGAGCATCACCTTCACATCACAAGATCATCTTGTGTTCTTCAGTACTAAAGAGCCCCCACGGTGCAATGTGTTACTAAGTAAATAAAGTAAACTTTTCACCTTACATTTTGCAGACAAAAAGCAGATGGAATATTTTAGCTCCTGTCCATAAAATTGTTTTCTCTACTTTTCAAAAAGAATTTTTGAATATATGGCTTTGAAAGGGCAGGAACTATAACCAGATACAATTCTCCAAAACACTCTCAAGCAACCTTTCCACTTTCCACTATACCCATAAAAATCTCATTAACCCTTTCTGAAACAGCAGCTTGCAAGTGAGAGTTCCACACTCAGCTGGTAATTTAGCTTACCTGCAAATGCAACAGTTGCAACACCAAGTCCAACTGCTATCATAGTTCTGGCCTAAAGCAGAAAAACAGGAATCAGAATTACATTCAAACTCTAGTTTCATATAAATGCACCTTTTACTTTAACAAGTATTTCTGATGTCTGATGTGGACATTTCATATATAATTTACAAGAAAGATGAAAGTAAGTTCTGTATTCCTCAGGCTACATTAGATTTTTATAGTTCAGACTCATTAACCCATGCCAACACATCAGGTTTAACTTGGAACTACCCACTAGCAAATCAGTGAACATACACTGAAATCAGTTTATAGTATATAATGATGAAAACACAAGGCAGACAACCATTCAGGATTACTTGAAATTACTTGTGCAGACTAGTTCAACACAGTATGTAACAGAAAGTACCTGTTTATTACAAAAACATAAAGAGCTAACTCAAAACTCCAATATCAGGTGTATGTATTTTCCTCCACAGTGTTTGAAAAAAAGTCAGGCACCTCAAAAAGGGCAATAATAAGTATCCCCACGCTGATCAAGATGCTGATGAAAGGTATGAGGCAAACCTTGAAGAAGGGACTGACTTCTCACATGTTTGCAGAATTCAAGAAGGCTAACGAGCTCTCCATTTCTGAAAAGCCTACGAATAATCTTTGAAACAAATGAAATAGTCATCTGTGGCATTACCTGTCTTATCATATGACAGTTCAATAATGCCTTGTATTTTTCCCGGGGAAACCTGAGAAATCGGATTAGGCTTGTTTATCTTGAATTCAAAGCATAATGACAATGAAAACGCTTTTATCACCAGACTGTCTCTTCTATATATGACTTACTTCCGCAATTACTCAGTAACTGGTTTATACGTTTTATACAAACAAGTCTGACAGAAAGACTTAAAGCTCAAACTTCAACGCAAGTGCCCTAATAACTGGATCTGCAGCCAAGTTGCCTTTGCTACTAAGATTCCTGGGGCTAAAATTCTTTGTCTTCAATTGTACCCAATCTCATTTCTACACAGGGTGGGAGTAAGGGATGAGTTTGGAAATAATGTTTTTAAAGCCTTCCTAGAGCTGGTTTAGTATGGGCTAGAACATGGGCTGAAAACTTTGCCCACAAACAGGCAGCTACAAGATGCAGGCACCGATTGCACCCAGTGGGTCCTACAGCTTTGGCTCTGAAGGAGAGCGGCTGTGATTGTAGCCTGTAGTACTGAGCTCAGTACAGAAAAAGTTGTAGCCTGCCCTGAGCACATCCAGAAGCAGCTGTATTCCTCTATATCTAGCTTCTGGATCCCAGAGATTATAACTAAGAACCTACCTCCCACCTACCTGAGGGGACTGTCCTAGATATTTGCATAAGACTGCAATTGCCTAGAGGTTTCTATTAATTAAAAAAACAAAACAAAACAAACCAACCAACCAAACAAACAAAAAAGCCACCAAAACTCACTAAACATACTGAAGCTCCAGAGTTAAGACTGGAGGAATTCTGGCCTTAATAATCTTCCTGTCTAGCCCATTTTAGTAACAGAACTCTTCCATTTCAGTGTACTCTTCAGTCTCGCTATCACCATCCATTTCTGAACGTAAAAATAATGTAGTAGATTTATGTCTGTTGTCCCTTTCGGTTCCACCAAATTTCCCTTAATCTTTAGACCATGAAAAAACTTAAGCATGTTACCTTACATGGTACAAGATGTAAAATAGTCAAGCTCACTAAACTAAAACTCCTTTAATTTCTTCTCACAAATCAAGTTTTCACAGGCTCCCAAAATTTGAACCTTAAAAGGTTCCTCTAATTCGTCTGTTTAGGCAGGAACCACAACCAGCCACAAGGTTTCTGAAAATATCACAACCCTATAGCAATTCTATATTTTTCTGTTATGTGATTTGTGACCATAGATTAATATTCAAGTGTTTCCTTGACTTTGATTCAGAGTGACGGCAGGAATCTTTTACTAAGTGGATATAGTCAATTATGAGCTCAACAATGTGTGAAATAGATCACACTGGCAAAAAAAAATATTTATTAGCCTGTGCTTGTCCAGATTAAGTTATAATTGCCTTGTCACCGAAAAGGTGGTTTCAGTCAGCAGTTTACAAAAAGATGTACAGGTTGCAACAAGGCATTAGCAGCAGACACCTCATCACAGGTAAGGCCAAGCACAGAGAACGGGCTAATAAATAATACCAGGATTCAGTCAGTTTAGTGCAGAAATAGCATGTGTTTGCCCAGTAATCTGAGAGCACTATGTAGAGACCCCTGAGGGCCTCTGACAGAATCAGCCATGTCTGCTGGGATGCATTATTTCAATCTCAGTGGAAAGCAGTAGCACTTAGAGGAAAGAGTGCTGCCTGGAAAATAGCAGGTAAAAACAAAGCGTGGCAGCAGCTCTAGAATAGGAGCAGGATGCAGGATCAACAGGGAGATGAAGACAAACCAAAAACCTTTGTAAAAGTGATACAAAGCTCAAGTCAGAGAGGCATGAAAGACTGCCCACATTTTGAAGTGAGGTACAGCCATCTGAGAAATACTGGTTTATAGTAATTCCTCTTATGACCCTAAGATTAGCTCAGTTGGTTGCAGCACGGTGCTAATAATGCCAAGCTTGCGGGTTTGATCCCTGTATGGGCCATTCACTCAAGAGTTGGACACAATGATCCTTATGGGTCCCTTCCAACTCAGAATATTTAGTGATTCTGTCAATTATGGCCGGAAAGCAGCAGTTCAACTGCGTGAAACAATGGAGGAATCAGTAATTATTTGCATTATGAGCAGGTTACAGAAGAGTCACTTGCCACACAGTAGCAAAGAAGTGATAACTTGTCATACAACCCATCTTGAATGTTTGTTACAGTGTGAACATATCCTAACTATACCCATGTGACAAAAAATGAATTGGAATCACTGTTAGACAGATTGCACAGTTTGTCTTTTACTGACACGGGCTCTCATAAAATTAGTGGCAACTTCAAGTACTAACCAGTAGGTCCTTTAAGTCCAGCTTGACTCAGTTTCCTTTTCCACGCTCACTTAACTCAGCTGTGTATTTAAATGAATCAGTCAAGGCTAGCCTGGTGCTTTGAAATGCAAAGTCCAAAGCTTTAATTAAATGCACTCCTTTCACGTCAATATTAAATGAAAGCAACTCACTACCACTGTGGAAGGCAGCAGTTAATTTATTGCATGCTAATACAACTACCACTGCAATCATTTTTTGTCTCCTATTGCTTGAAATTGCATTTTATTTCAGACTCATAAGGGATAAATAAATAAATACATACACACTGACTTTCAATTATGGCAGAATTGACCTTCCCACCACTCCAAAAATGCCATTAAGAAACTTCCAAGACATGGGTTTTAAATGAAAGCATTCTGTTAAGATCCAAGAGGGAAAAATAAAGAACTAAAAGATTAAAGTAACATCTGTCCCTTTCTTTATTCAATGAATCGGCTCCCAAAGGTTAGTCATCAATCCCACGCTATTCTGCTGATCTCAGTGTTTTAATTTTACTGTGTAGTTCAGTTTTCAGTAATAAACCCTCTTAGATAAAGAAAACTTAATTCCTTCAATACTTAATTCTCCAGTGGTCCTAACTTTTTAGCAGAAGAAAAAGGGAAGAATGAGATATTATTTTTGCAAATTTCTAATCCACAGTGCTCTGCTAGCTTAACCATACCTAAAAAATATGGTTAGTTCTCATGTCGTTCTTAGCACTATGGTTTCTTCTCCTATGAAGAGGGAAAAAACCTTATAAACAAAAGAATTTCAAATGCATCACTTTCAAATTTCAGCACTCTCTAGTACATCTGACTATGGGCTGCAAGAGTCACCTGTAGGAACGTTACAACATATCTGCTTGCACAGAATTTGGATTTTATACACCGGTTCTTCTACCACCAGTGAAAACATCCTTCTTGATCAAATGAAAAATATTTTCCTCTCCTCATAACTTAGCTTTCAGACACACAGCAAGAGCTCTACAGTCTTTTGCCTTGGAAACCTGCAGTGTAATAAAATAAAAAGCACAGAGAAAATAATAATTTGTTGACATGGGTTGGATGGCATTTTGTAACTAATCCATGCTTAGTCATAGAGCAGTAAAATAGGAATTATGTACTTACATTTAAATAAACACACAAGTGTAAGTTGCTTAACTAGAAATTTCATTTTAAGAAGGTTTGATTTGTTTGGGTTTTTTTTAGCGCTGTATGCTACTAAGAAGTAGGATACACAAGTATACTAACCAAGTATACAAAAATATTTATGAAATTAAATCATCCCTCAAATAAAAATTCTTGGCTTGAAATAAATGATTATTTGGTACAAAAGATAGAATAAGGCTTCAGAGTAAACCACCTAATTTACTCTATATAGAGCCAGAAACATTCCGAAGTGGGATTATATTATAAGTTATCTGCAACCAACTTGATTTCATAATCTAATGTTTTCCTTCCAATCTTACCTTCCTATGAAATTTAATTTGCCTTCCAACAGTGAATTAAAATTAATTTCAGGTAGATGCTGTTCCCCATACTGACACCATTTTTATGTCAATTTGTGTAATTTATTTTACAGCAATTTTTTTGATTCGTATAAAAAGCTAAGACTGCAGAGTTTTTCACAGGAAACTGTACCAGAGCAAACAGATTCACTAACAGAAGCATCACCATAAGGTATTCAAATCAATCTTCTTGAGTATGTATTAACATGACCTCTTGCTGTTATCTTTGAGAACAGACTCTTCATGCTTCCACTGCTGCTCTTCCATCGCTCCGAACACTTTTGTAAAACAATTTCGAGAATAAAAGTGACCATGAACAAGTGACTTCAGCTAATATCCCAGATAACTCACAACAAAGATTCAGGGTAGGATATTGAACAGAGCTCCTTCAGCCCCAAGAGATGGATGTTGCTGTTGGACTTTGCTTCTCCTAGGACTGCTCTGTTGCACCAGAGCAGGAAGGCCTCATTACCCTGTAGGGTGTCAGAGGAACAGACGCACAGCACTACAGTTGGTTTTGCTGTTTCTCTCTGGCAAAATTTTAGAACTTGTTTATACACAACTTACCTCCTTCTGAATTCCTTAACTGTGAATGCATTATGTATGCTGTTCTTGCTTCCATTACGTACATAACACCATCCAGACAAACTCTAAAATAGCTTCTGTATGCTAACAGTTTACAATGTAGATATGCCTAAAAACCACTGCATTCTCCACTGAAAGGCCTGGTTAAAGAATAAATTTCATCAGTAATCCAGATTCTAGTCCTCTGAGGACCTATATCAGTCTCTGGACCTTACTAAAAATGTGACAATACTAAGGGCTACAAGGGCAAGCCATGCTAACCCCAGATGCAACTTTTATCCCAGACAGGTAAGAGGGTCCAAAGACTCGACAAAATTCACAAGGAATTCCCTGCTAGCATTCGAAAGGGAGAATGACTGTGTTAACAATGAGTTTCAGAGCTAGCTTCTTAAGACTACACAGCTTGCCACTAAATACATAGAAAGACTCTCCTGTTGAAAAAAACCAAATTCCTAGACTGTAGTAACAATGAATAAATGACTTAGAGAACTGTAATTTTTAAAACTGTATTTTAAAAAAGTAAAAATACTGTAGCGACAACACAATGAAGTAAGGTAAGTATGACTTCTATGCCATTTTAAAAATGTGAAAACTTCACCACCTGGGGCTTTAAGCAGTGATCCATGTATTTTTCCAATTCTCTTTTCCAATGGGAATTCACTGTTCCATGAACTAATTGAATTGATCAGAATGAAAGACTGGGATAAAGTCCCATCACCCTTCCCTCTAGAGCACAGTACAGCATAGGAAACTTCAGAGGCACTTTGCCTCCACTCCAGACTAACCCAGACTCTCCCACATCACAAAGTACCAGGTGAGAATTACTTTGCTGAAGCAGAGCTCTATGAAACCATCAACACTCAAACCCACCTGCAATAACAACACCCGCACAGTGGGTGAAAACACCACAGGTATCACATCACCTCCTCATGGCAGAGGAACAAAATTTTCAGCCTTGTTTGCTCACACCTGAGAACGTCCAGGCCAAAGTGCTCCCACATACCCCAACTGTAGCATCCCAGAAAGGGCCAACGTGTACGTCTCAAACACTGACAGCTGGATGGCTGTGGAGCCAGCCAAGGACTAGCGGTAGTAACAGACAAGGACTGTCGGTAAGAATACGCTGTGGGAAAAGAACAAGACATGACTAGAGAAAGGGGACATGCGGAGGTACCACTTTTCCTTGTTCTATTTCCTGGAGATACACACAGCACAGCACAGCACAGCACAAGCACGGGAAAGAGGCCAAGAAATGGGCATGGACTTTAGGGAGGGATCAAGACCACTCAAGAGCCCTGAAGCCCCCTGACTCATTTCCAGAAACATCTAAAAGAACAGGCTGCACATAATGACTAGTTCCCATAGAAAGCGAGGAACCTGTCTCCAGGGTGGGGAAACCTGTCCATAAAAAGGTATCTCCACCAAGCCCAGGTGGTATCCCCAGGACCCTGAACATCCCGTCAGCTGGACCGACGCTGGAACCAGGACTGATGATCTTATTTTTTCTTTTTTTTCCTCTTGCTTTTCCTTTCTTTCTTCCTTTCTTTCTTCCTTTCTCCCTCCCTTACCCTCTAATTCATCTCTCTCTTTCTCTCTTTTCACCTTACCCCTTTATCAAAAACCCACTGCCATGCGGTGTCAAGGTTTAGCACATCAATGTCCGTGCCAATCGTGAAACTTGCTAATAAAACTTTCTGACTGTTTGCGGACCCTCCGACTCCTGCCGTTCCTCCCGACCACGAGCACTCCCGAATCCTGGGCGCTCCCTTCCCCTCAAGGGCAGGCCGACACACCGCTGCCCATGCTGCAGCTCCCCCCGCGGCACCGCGGCACCTCGCTGCCCTCTCCCTCCGGACACCGCCACCCGCTCTCCCAGCCCAGCCTGGAGGAGGACGCCTGTTCCGCGCAGCGCCATCACGCCCCTCTGTCCCGGCGCTCACACGCGTCCCCTCGCGGGCGCGTTTGACCCCCTGGGTCAGAAGGGGGGGCAGCTGCGGCCTCCTGGCCCCGGGAGCGGGGGGGCTCCCGCCATGCGCTCACCAGCCCGCGGTCCAGCTCGGTTTGGCCCCTGCCGGCGGCCGTAGGGCCCCGTGCGTACTCGGCGTAGCGCAGGCCCTCGTCAGAGCCCGCAGCGCCCGCCATGATGGAGCCACGAGGAGTCGGCGCTACGGGCCGGCCGGAGAGACAAACCGCGCGGCAGGACGGACCGCGCGAGGGGCGGGGCTGAGGCCGGAGCCTCACGTCCTAGGAATAAGGCGGAATGGAGGGATAAGAGATAATTTATGCATTAAAAAAAAAAAATAGGATAAGGAGGAGAGAAAACACTCGGGCCGCACGGAAATGATTCGTTTCCATCTCCTGAATACAGGATTTTAGGCGGGGTGGGGAACATGTAAAGGAAAGTATAAAGACAAATTTATCTGAGGAAAAAAACCACTAAAAATGCATTTTAATATTAATATGCTTGCACTTAAGTTGGTGTCTATATGTTTCACTGTGTTTATATTTTGATTTTCTGAACATGCTGACACTTCGTATCACTTCTGAAAACCTCCCTCAGCTGATCCCTGCCTATGCAGAAGTTGTCAATCAACATCAGTCCCGCAGCGCAAACTGTAAAATGCTCAGGCCCGTTCCAGTGCAGCACCAGAACAGCTTTTCCCTTTTTTCTGGTTTTCCTTGTCTCCTACCTGGTCGTACTGGTGATGGAATTGAATCACCTGCAGATTGCTAAACGGTGTGACTGGACAAAAAGTATTGCTCTCCTTATCTCCTTTTTCAAATGACAGTTGCTCTTCCGAGCATCTCTTAAGTGTCTTTTTAGAGTACCATAAAGGTGAGTTAACCATATATAGCATTTCATTAACCTTAGGCAGAGGTATAAATTTAACTTTCTACTGCACAGAAGTCACTGAGAGTTCTGTGATGATCCATTTGTCAAGAAATGCATTCATTTTTACTTCTTCATTGGGCATATACAATCATATATGATTCATTTTTTAAGCCTTCAGTGGAATTGGATTTCTTGAAAACTTAAATCTATTTTAAACTCATTAAAAATGTCCCCAACTAATCATTTTCTGTTCATTTATTTGCATAGAAATAATGCAGAGCAGCATGTTGCTTACTACATTTTTGGTCAGCAAACTCAGTTTAAAAAATAATAAATTTAAAGTCTTGGAATCTGGGATCTTTTCCTTAATTTTTCAAACTGATCCCCGAGACACTGGAACAGGTCAAAGTCTGCTCTCATCAATTCAGAGTTGTGATTCTGTTATTTTGCCCTAATACTACTGTCTCATGGTCACAGCAGCAAATTCTTCCTCATTTTTAAGTATCAGAACCAAAAGAGCATCTCCCCTTGTCAGTTCCTTGATTACCTTCACAAGGAAGTTATAATCGATGAACTCAAGACACATGTCATTGTAAGGACATAAAAATTTGGCTTTTAAAGACACTGGGTCATATTATGGTGCATCCAAATACATCTAGGAAAGCTCTGACGTGGAAAACAGTGCTCTGAACATCTTCCTCCTATTACCAGCCATGCTACTACTACTACTGCTACTATTTTCTGGACAGTGAGCCACAAGAAGCATATCGATTAAGCAGAGCAAACCAGATAACCAACACAAGGAAAATATATCTTTTGCCAGGAGTGAAAGACTGTAGGTTGTCTCCCTTGCAAGCAAGGAGGGGAGGAATTAAAGCGGCTGGGTCTTTGGTTATGGTTCTCTCCCAAAGCTCCTCTCAGCATGGCACAGCTGTGTGCTCTATTATGCACAGGATGGTGCTGGTAGAGACAATCTGTCCATTACTATTTAATTTAATCCTACACATTAGTATGTTCCAGCATATTGTCACTATTAATGTGTGGCAATGTTGTCCAGATTTGTTATGCCATTTAAGTTAATTGTCTGCATACTTTTCCTATAAATTACTTTCCTAAGTAGTCTGTGCTACACTATTCCATGATGCAGTCAGGATCAATGCTGGCAAGAATCTCTGTCAGGAATGAAGGAGAATCTAGAAACAGATACCAGATTAAATCTTGTGAAATTGATAACAAGGGATATGTGTGTGGTTTGGATTTACCTTTTACCACTGAGAATTTCGAAAATACATGTCAATGTAGCACCTGACCAGTGTAATTAGAATGGCAAGGACCAAAATTTTGTACTAAAGATTAAAGTTTCTGAGGTCAGGCAGAGGAGAGAGTATAATTGAGAGTTATCAAGGAAATCATGAGGCATATCATATAAAACTGGTAAAGTCAGTACTTGAGCCTTGCTGAATTGTCATGTACATACAAATGAATGAAGAATAAATCTTCCCAGCCACTGCACCAGGATTAGAGGTTGCTCCTACAAGCATTTGTATATTTAATTACCACAATATACTGTAAAAGCAAAAAGAGGTATTAGCTGTGGACTTCTGCTAATTTCTTCGAGTAATGTATTCAGAAACATCAGACAATAAAGAATGTAATGTTCTTTCTAGATACTATAATAATTGTCTGTATGACATCTTTGGTTGACTAGGTACCACAAGGTAGTATATTATATAAAATCCTAAGCTGGAACTAATCATGGCCTTCAGGAATTACAAGAGTACAATTATTCCTTGAAGAAGATGGTATATATGCCAAAAGGCTCAGGTATCTTTTGTGAATAAGTAAATCTCCCCTGCTGTAAAAACTATTAAAAAGATCTATTCAAAAATCTTGCAATTAGTATTTTAATACTGCCAAATTTCTCAAGGATTTTTTCCTTCTGGACACGATGCTGGAGCAATAGCTGTTAGGGTTCTTTGTTTCTGATAGCATTTGTATTCATAACCAGTTAATTTTACCTATTGTAATGTGTTCCTTGCAGGCATTTTTAATGGTATAAAGCACTCATTTTTAGTCCTGATTGTTTTTATAACATCAGACCTTTTAAATAGCCCTGCTTTATTATTTAGTATTATTTATACAACAATATAAATATGCATAGCACCCTCCAGGCATAAGAATACTCCTTAAATGTAGCAATAATCTTCAGGCACTGCTTCTGGACCTCAATACAGCATGTTCTGGACATCAGGTCAATTAGATTTTCAATCTCCACTTCCATTTTCTGAAGTAGTATTAGATAAAAGAGAGGTGGACCTGCTATAATGCTGAAGGATACGGTGGAGAAAGCAAGGGTCAATTTTCTTTTAGAGAGTGGAAGATGATAGTTTTTGACAGGTACCGTCAATTTCTTTTTGGAATAAAAGCTTTTTGCAATAAAATGGGAAGTGTGTGCAGCATTTTACATTTCCTAAATAAATTACCCAACACATACACACACGTGCACTTGTCAAAGCTAATGGCATTCTTTCTGCTGAACCTGACAAATTCCAGTCCTAAATCTTAACAAGAATAAATCTTGGCCAAATGTTGACATTTTACCCTCCTTCTGGGCCTACCTCTCCAGGGAGCAGAATAATTCCTCTTCTCCAGCATCCTGAGCTGTAACAATTAGTTCTATCAACCCTGCAGAATGCAGCGTCCTTACAACACAGCAAGCTTGCTCTAATGGAACATTTTCTGTCAAGTGCACAAAACTAAAAGTGATACTACAGCTTTCATTCATATTAATGTTTTGTGGTTTTGGTCTACAGTGAACTCAGATATTTTGCTTGCCATAGGCATGTTTCAGATCAAGTATTTTAAAAGTCAAGCTGAACAATTCTTGTCTAGTTTAAGATTTTCTGTTCACAACTAATTGTACAGCAAGGTAGAGTACTCAGCCAGAAAAACCTTTGTAAAGTAAAATGCATCTCTAAAAATTCAATTTTGCCATCATGGTATAAAAACTCTATATGCAGAGCTAATTATAGATATGCCTCTATTTGCCATAGTTTGTCACTGCCTTAAAATACAGGGATGTGTTCCCTATGATAGGTTACATGCCTATGCTCTATAGTATATTCAGTTGCGTGTCTTCTCTATTTAGCCAAAATGTCCTGTGAAAAAACTTTGTATGTGAACCCTTGAGCATCATATTCATGTACTGGACTAAGTATTTTAGTGCTGACAGCAAAAGAAAAGGCAGTTCTCCAGCTATCAAGGGCTCTTGATACCACTTGCTGGCTCCTGGGAAAAACAGAAAGTGGAAAGTTTGCCTGTCCTGACTGTCTTTTTGAAGGTTTCCTACAGTTTAATGCTTTTCTTCTTTAGGCTTCTAGTCTCCTTGGATTAAATAAAAATCATAGCTTTTAATGAAATGTCTCTATGGTTGAGGAAAGAAAACTTAAAAATGCAAAACCTTAAAATCCGTAAACCAACAGTGAAATAATGAAGAATAAACAGGTGTTTTCAGGGAAAGGAAGACAGGGGACATTGCACTGTTTTACTTTTATATTTTTTAATAGTATTTCTTTCATAGAAGAGAGTTTTATTCTATCTAACATTACCAAAGAAATGATGATGTGGCTGACTGGGATTCTGAGTATCCTTTATAGTGAGAAAGGACCTCTAATTCCTCTAATTTTTGGTATAGTTCATGATGGTGTTGAGTTGGAAATACAGATTCAGTACAGAATGTTCCTCTACAAAAGTTATTTTGGTTACTATTGTAATATCCTGAAAAACACAGGTGAGGGAGGGTACATGGCGATTCTTAATATTCCACGTGTCCACTGAGGTATTTTCTCAAAGCAAGAGAAAGATAATTTTTATCTTAATAAAAATAAAAGAAAATAAAACAAAATAAAAAACCTCCCATTGTTAATAGCTAGAGGCAACAGACAAAAAGCTTTATTTTGACAAATGAATTTTCTCACTCCTTTTCCCTGCTTTCTCCCCTGTCCCACTGGTGAGGAGGGAGGGTACGTGGGTACTCACTTGCTAGCAAGGACCAATGCATTGCAGCATCAGGCCCAGTTAGGAATGTGAGACAACTATAAACATAAACCATCAGATAGAATAGTCAGCTAGTATTTGGTGGGTCTAGAAAAACACAAGTACTGAATTAAAATTCTTATGGAGGATTTGGGAAGTTTTGAGATTTGGTGGGGTTTGCATGTTTCAGGAGGTTGAATCAGCAATCTGAGATTTTAGCATTTACTTAGCATCTACAACACTGAATAAAGTATGACTGGAAGCTAATCCTTTTTCCTAAATCCAGCTAGCACAGACTTACATATATGCTGCCCATGACAAGCCTCCACCAGGATAGAAGTAGCTAAGTAGCTAGATTGATCCTAGTGGAGGCAGTATGCGTGTCCTTATACTACTTAAACTCCTAGTTTCCTGAGAGCCTTAGGTGGTACTGCTGTGACTCTAAAACTTGATTATTATTTTGGGGGATATTTCACCTCACTGTGTCTGAAGCAATAGGAGGGATGGGTTGCAGCCCATGATGTTGTGTTTTAGTGGCATGAACCTGAGGGGCTGATGAGTGATACACTGTGTAGTATCACAAAGATGCACATGGGATGTGTTTGAGATGCAGAGATTGCTGGGTCAGTGCTGGAGAGTTGTTTAGGGTGGAGAAAGTTAAATCTGGTACAGTCGTTAATACTGACTTTCTGGGTGTCATGTCTGACATGAACCATCCTTAGAGCTAGGCCTGGATGCTGTTCTGGAGAGAGTTAGTTTAGATTGTCCACAACAGAGCTATGAAATAAATGAGCATTGAAAAGATATAAGTGATTTAGCTTCCAGTGCTTGGGTTCATTTTACATCCCTCTTTTTTTGAGCAATATAGATGTGAAGTATTTAGATTCTACAGTTACTGTTTTCAGGTAAAAGTTTCTAAATTTCAAGAGGAAAAAGATATTAGATCTGAATTTTACATAACACTGAAGGATTGAGGATACAGCAGCAGTCACCACATTAATTATAATCAATTTTCGTAATTAAATATGAGTTATTAAGACATCAGTCTGCTTGGATAAAAAAACTCCAGATACTGAAGCTGGATTTTTACCAGATAGGATGTCTGTAGGCACAGCTGTTATCACACAAACGTTTGCAGTCCTCAGACATGACTTTGCTATAATTTTTTTGCTACTTCTAGTGCCTTTTTGTCTCCTGTATTGACCCTGAAGTTCTACGTAAGAGAGTAAGCTTGATTCTTACTTTCATTTACCAGCACCTTGTACATAAAATATTTGTGAAGTGGTGCAAGGGATTATGGACCAGTTCATCCCTATACAACACACTGCCATTGCACTCCAGAGTCTCTGCAGAATGTTTTGTGTACAAATGTAGATGATACCTGCTGCAGAGCATGTTAGGAGGGATGGTGGGAGGGAGAGACCATTGATGCTGCCTCCTTGGGCAGGCCTAGGAGATGCAACTTTCTGAATGTGGCAGCTCTGGGAGGTGTGCTGCTGGTGACAGTGTCCCATACAGTACACCAAGGAGCATTACAACCACCAGGCAGCCTTTGGCTTTCCATGTGGCATTTTGTTTTACTCCTTCCCCAGCATGTGTGCAGTGTGCTGTAAGGCCTATGTGGTCTGGGCAGTGAGGAAACCTGGCCACATGATCATCCCTTCTGTGCAGCTTGATCAGCTGAGGACAAAAAGTGACAAAGTCTGCATGTGTGGAGCTGGATTTCCCTAGCTCTGCTGCATTAAGCTGGAGTAGCATTACTACTTCTTTTTTGCTTGGGCTAGAAGTTGCCAAACAAAGGTTGCTGATTATCCAGCCCTGCAGATCCCATAGATACAGTAGCACTGGTCAGATATGATTACTGAAGGGAACTGCGTTTTTGATAAGTGGATCATGTATTAGTCCTCTATTCAGGTGGAATTAGGAAAGTAAAAATAAAGAAGTTTTCTGATCGAGCAGAACTCAAAGGCAGAAATTGAGCTGTGCAGGACCTTAGGATTTACCTGAGGGTTAGTTTTTAGTTTCCATCTTTCTTTGTATACCCATGCAAAATAGAAACCAGTAAACCCCTAAGAGTTATTCCCTCTGTCATAGGAAAATTTGATATGCTGGGGTAAAAAAATTGTCAGAAATATAGCATTCAGCCAGACCTTGCCATGCTTTTGCTGAAGCAGTCTGTTCCAAGACTGCACAAATGTTGTCGTCAGGTTTATTAGTACAGATCCGCTTTGCTCTCCCCTCCGTGACTCCTGTTTGCCTAGGTGCTGTGATTGAGATGATCAAACTTTAGCTTCAGCTGGACGATGACTCAGAAATCAGTACATGTATTTGCACTCCTGACAGCCGAAAGTCCAGACAGAGGAGGGGCTTACAAGGAATTGAAACTAACTTGCAGTAACTCAAAAGTTTTGAGTCTTTCCCTAGCCTAAGCAGCAATACTTGTGTCTGACAATTGAAAGTACTCCCAAAGCAATGTCTGGGGTTAGAGGATGGAGGGAAGGCAGTAGGTACAGGACAGCTGCTGGCTCTAGTACTCCATTTTCCTCTCAGGGTTACCCCTTGGATGGCAACAACAAAACAGAGAAGGGTAAAAACACCCAGAAGCTGACAACGTCTGGAGAGGAACAAAGCAGCCAAGCGCCAGTCTACCAACAACAGCAAAAGCAGCAGTAAGTAACGAGGAGCCTGTCCAAGATGATGTTATGTGTATTGGGTGCCTGTTCCCGAGCTTGCTTGAGCTGTATATCTTTAAAGGGGGAAATACTTTGTAGAGAGCCTGTGAACGGGGCTGAGTGCACAAGCAGCATATTGTCCTTTTCTTGGTGCTTCCAACATGGGACCCGAGTTGTTCTGGCAGGCTTTGGCATGGCTTATACTCTGTGCAATAGCAGTGGCCAGTTCTATATGTTGCATATTGGCATATGTAGGGTCCGTTTCCTGGCATCTTTTTTCAAAGTGAAATTTCAAATCTGGTTCTAGCTCCTTGTTTTCTGTTTCTCCTAATATTTCATTCTGAGAAGTCTAAAAATACTTCTACTGGCTTAAGAGATGGATATAGGCTGCATTCCAGCACTGATCTGAATGCAGTCAAGGACACAGAACAGTTCCAGCAACTTCATGCTGACTAAAATAAAACGAAACTTTAGCCCTCAATTTTATTTTGTGCTTTATTGGAATCTATGCTCAGTGCATCTCTGGTTTTCCAGTAGCAATTCTGAGATAGCTTGTATAACCTATGTCTTGCAGATATAGTACAGAATAGAAACTGAAAGTAGTGTGTGTATTTTTTATGCACGTGTTTAATATAAATAGGCTTAGCTGAACAGAGCTAATTTTTTAGTCTTTTTCTCCAAAAGTGCTTTATATGAGCTGTTAATAACAGTGCATGCAATGCTATATTATTGTTATGTGCAGATCTCATGGCTTTCAAAGTGCAGCTGACAGGAACTGCAATCTGTTTTGGTTTCCTTTCCCTTTTTTTGGATGAAGAAGGTGGAGCCACGCTGTGAAGGAGGTGGCAGGCGGATGATGGCAATCAGCGGATCAGCAGCTTTCGATTACCCATGAATACTTGAATCCGTCAGCACTTCAATGACTGACTTTCAGCAGAGCAAACAAAAAATCCTTAATTACAGTCTGTTTATTTTCTGCTACTTCCAAATGTGAAACACCCTCTGTCTTGCCTGCCCTCATAGTGCCATATATCCACAGTAGAATGAGAACATCCCTGGTTTGCTTGCATATTTGTGTTGTATTCATTTTTTGATGTTTCGTTGGGGTTTTTGTTTGTTAATTTGGTGGGTTTTGGTCTTTGTTTTGTTTTTTTTGGGGGGCAGGGGGAGGAGTAAGGGAGGCCAGGGGGATAGTGGGGGTTTTTCCGTTGCCATAACTATCCCAGATTTTGTCTGTGATTCAAACCTCCTGGTATAGGTTAGGTGAATAACTTATCAATTGGTTATCCAGAGCTCCCTGCAGAATTTAAGGCCAGAGCAAATATAGTCACACAAAGTCTGACTAGATTATGGGAAACCCCCTAAAACTAAGTAAGCTTTTGGGGAACATGAATAATTTTATGACCCATTCCCTTTCTCATCTTATATGATGCTTGCAGAGCTAAAGGTGTGCACCTACTGCAAGGACTGTGTAATATTTTTTTGCTGTGTCTTCAAAAAGTTCTAATAAAGACTTAATTCCTAAATTTCAAATGTACAAATTAAAGTCTGCCTTAGTATGTAGTTAATGAGGAAGAGGGATGAGGGAAAGGCAGGTTCCAACAGAAACCATGTAATATGAGTGGTACAAATACTCAAAAAAAGAAGTGAACAAAGCTGGAGCTTGCATCCTTCCCTTGAGGAGAGGGGTACCAGCTGTCAATTTGAACAGGTTGAAGATGTTTAAACTGCAATTTCCTTAACTAACACAGATTAAATTGGTAGATAGTATCTGAAATACCGAAGCAGACAAGGAGAGATCTTCATTCGCAAAACAAAAATTATTTCATTCATTATTACTTTGTTCTGTTATCTCAAGTTACATTTCAAGAAAGATCTCAGATTCAAATTCCATTTTAGCAGTGATAAAGTTGACTCAGCCTTTTAGTCACCAATCCTTTTAAATACGATCTTTAAAACTAAAATACTGGGGCACCCTCAGAATGGTCCAGGTTTTCAGGCTCTGGGATAACCACAGCAGTAGGGTAGCTGAAGTCACAGTAGAAGAAAAAATATGTAGACTAGTATTAATTAAAGGCTTTCTGGAATACATATAACAGAGAGAACATGAGGGGCCCAAGTAAGATACCTCTGTGTCAAGGAGTGTTTCTATTCCAATTTCTGTGCTGCTCGCTAATTTTTTGGAAACAATCAGGATATAGTTTTGCTACCAGCAAAGCAGGAGCTGGAGTCTCCTTTGAAAGCTCTTGCGTGAGTAGATTCCATGCAAACTCTCAGTCTCAGTCAGTCAGAGCAATTTGGAATGGGAAAACACCTTAGAAGCATCTTAAGGTGGGGTCAGGGAACCTTTCATGTAGACTGGACACATGAAATATGTGTGGGACATGGCACGTTGCAGTCTCATCCACTAGTTGATATTCAAACTTGACTATTAGAAAGTACAAGGTAGGCAGCTGGTATTAGAGGATAATTTTGCTTTGGAAAAGCCCTTATATAATATGTTGAGGCTGAGAAGTTACAATAAAGTGGTCCTAATTAAGCTAAGAAAAATACATGTTCAAATGCAAAATTGAAATCACGCTTTGCACATCTCCCTCCAGTTATATATAGAATGTGGTTTCAGGCATGGAGAAAAAAGTCACAAGGATGACAAGTGCTTGAAACTGCTTATAATAATAAGCTTGCATTTAAGTTACTTCACTTTGTCTGCTAAGTGCCATGAAATTAACTAGCAGCAAGTGAATTCTCAAATTGCCCCTGTTCATATCTTTTCAGAAACAAAAGTCTGTAGAGAAGAAAAGGTGAAGGAAAGTGGAGAAATTAGAGGGTGAAGTATAGCTAGCACCTGAAAAAGAAACTGCTGCCCTCATTCAGCAGTCTGTCCTTGGCTCCTTTAAAGCTGGCAAGAATAATATTGGTTCTGGTAAAATCCATTAAAAATGAAATTCAAGATAATAAAACCTGAGGATACATTGCCGCACAGCAGGTAACAGTCCCTCATCATTTTGTGTGAAAGGAGAGCAGAGTTGCTAGAATGCTTGACTTGAGAAATTATATTCTTTGACTGCTGAAACCAAATCCATACGAACTATCTTTCCTTCATTTTCCAATCTTCATCCTGAATTTTAAAAAGCAACATAGAAAATATCTATAGTGTTGTAAGACCCCTCAATCTTTTGCTGATAGACTATACTTAGCAGTTCTGAATTTTTTTTCTTTCATGATCTGAAGTTTCTTTTTTTAAAAAAAAATTACTCTACAAAAGTGTAGGTGGATGCTTAGCAAAATGCTTGTTTTGCCCACTGCCCAGCCACCAGTGGGAGTGCTAGAAGGGTAATTTGAATTATGGACAATCTGTTCAGAGCTGAACTCTGTATTTGTTACAAAGGAGAAATCTCCCAACTCCGTCTTTCAGGCTTATGTACTAATCTTTACAGCCCAGTGAGGCAATTCAGAGATGCCCAGCTTTGTTATGGTCAGCAGCCAGCCTTTTCTCCAGCCAGGTGTCTGGTTGCAGGTCTGTATAAGACAATAATTATAGTGTTAGGCTGGGCTGTGGGGGTTGCTGTGTTCCTTATAATGCTTGGAGGAGGGGAGGAAGTCCTTCCAGCTCCTGTATTGGAAGTTTTTTTTGGAAGAGCTTGATTTGCACAAGCCCTGACGTTCCCTTGATGGATAGCTTGATGAGGAGCTGTGATGAGGTTATGAATAGGGAATTTGTAGGAGGATGCCATGTTTGGGCAGGGGCAGTAAAAGGACAAATTCTCTGATTCAGAGGCAACGGAGGAGGAAATACATTGATAAAAAGAAAAGAGAGGGGAAGCAGAGATGAACATGCCACCAGCTTAAGTCCTAATCTTCATGTGATACAGCATCTGACCTGCTGAGCTCTCCAGGCCTGCTGGCAAGACTGACTTGCAACACATGGATGCCCCTGCAGGGGATAGCTTGGCTCAGGGCTTGGCATTGCCAAGACCAGCGTCTGGCCTGCCCATGTGTGGATGCTCCATGCTTCTCACAGCTAGTGATTACCAGGTTCTCCAGCTGGCTCTGGCATGCTGGCTACGTCCCTGACATTGTGCTGCACTGAGATAACTTAGCTGCTCTAGGACCTGGGGACAGCATAAGCATGGCCATGTCTGACTTCATAGACTTTCCTGGGTCTGATGCTAATCTATAACACACCACAGTGAGTTCTGCCCCTTTGGTGTAATCTGACCACAACCATAGGTTGACTAATGGCATATTAGCATTTTACAGAGGAGAGAGAAAGCTCTGCTCTGGGCCAAGTTTGGGCTGAGAGCTATCTCTTGACTCCCTGATTTGATCCATCACTGTGGCAATTTTCTTGGAGCTTTAGAACCTGGTCGAAATCATCCAAAACAGTGTGCTGGCTGAAGCACATCTTTCTGATATGCTATGACCAGAACAAGCTGCTGAGTCTGAGCTCCATCTAAACTCTTAGAAATTCAATTCCAGTTTTCATTTTTAGTCTTTAGGCCAAATTTTAACTTAAGGAATTTTCTACAAGCATGTGGGTAAAACAGAACCTCAGGTCTGTTTCTTTCCTGCAGATTTCTGACTCATACTTTCTCATGGGCCTCTCTCTGCTGCTGTTTCACTTCTTGCTGTGGTAATTAAGTGCATTCCTGGCCTGTGGCAAACACAGGACAAAATCCACGGACACAGACTTTTGAGGATAAACATTTCCTTCTAATGCAGTTAATTTTCTGCCTCTTATGCTAAGACCACACATGCAGTGAGGGTGAATCCGACAGTGTGTAATGCTAAGCCTGAATAATTCACTTTTGTCTTTGAGCTGCAAACTGGTAAGATGCTGCTGCTGATAAAGATGGAAAGCCAGACCCTCAAGCCTGCATGCAAGGTTTATACACCCTCACAGAGATGTGCTTAAGGCACTGCTGGGACACAGAGCATATTGCTTGGCTGAAGTCTAGAACTGTGGCTGTCAGTTATCATTAGCATCTGGCCGTGTG